CTATAGATAACGATGGCAATTATTTCGAACATCTGATGAAATAAAAGCTTGAAAAAAAGAGAATAATAATAAGATGCTACATGTTGAAAAATAAAATATGATCTCCTACAACCACTGCACAACCAGCCGAAATAGATTTTATAGATACAGTAAAACCCCTCTTATGTGAACACCGTTGGAACCAAAGAAAATCGTTCACATTAGTGGGGTGATCATATTGGGGGGGATTCATACAAACATGAAGAAGCGTAAGTCTTGCCATAAAGATTCCTTCTGTTTCGACAACTAAATCTAATTAATTCGATCTTAATTATATGTATCGACTTTCAGCGTGAGAATCATCAGAGAGAAGAATCCTAAACTTAAGTCCTCATGAGTTTTGGCGAGTTGTATGGATTTATACCTGCAATTATGAGAAAATTATTTTAGCGGTTTACGAAATGGCATTTGCTGGTCCGAAGGCGTGAGAATGTTGAGTTTTGCAATAGTTTCACTGTTGAATTTTAAATATCATTTCTGCATTGGTTTTCCATCAGACTTCATTGGAGTTAAAAGAATTTCGTGCGATTATTTCCACTCGAGACGTAAAGTCTCCCATATTTTATGGTCTTCTGCAGATTCCAAGTTCAGTTTTGCTCATAGAATAAGTCCAAAATGACATATCATATTCAAAAATAAACATCTAACAAACTGAAAAAGGCAAAATGGATATCTTTCTCTTTCTACAGTCATTTCTCTTTCATGACTATTAGAGCGAACCAATCAAATGCGAAAGGACATCTCGTTGATAGGTGGTGCCATATGTTTCTGTTCATATTAGAGAGGTTACTTTACACAGTAGGGACTGAAAAATAGCGTTCACATTCAGAATCGCGAGGGGTTCACTAAGGAGGGAGTCAAAATCAGCAAAAATCGCTTGGGGGGACCGGAGGGTGTTCAGTATAACAGGTTGTTCATAAAGGAGGGGTGTTCAGTAATAGAGGTTTTACTGTAATTTAATATTATGATGTTAATTGAAGTATGATCAAATGGTATAGAAAGACAGAGCTTTTGTTTCTCTATCATCCTACATAGAAGAAAAAAAATGTAAGCCTACTAAACGATATTAATATGTCACTGCCCGAACTTTTGGTATGCCCTAAGTATTTTTACATATGCATAATCTTTGAAGTGTCTTCTTTCAAATGATGTAACAACCATCTTTCACTGAAATATAGAAGTCAAGAAATCAGCGGTCCACAATAACGATCTACTTCTGTTGTTATTAGGGACATTTGTTTGAAATTCTTTGGGATAATTTTTTTTTCAAATTAACTATTTCATTAAGACACAGTTGGTTTCCCATGAACCTTTGGGTTTAGATAGAGTTCGACGCGTTCTGCAAAACTGCTAGCAAGATATTTTATTGTTTTCCGAACAGAAAGCATGAAAAAGTAGTTTTTATTAGAAAAGTGTCTTTTTCGCTTAATTTTCTCAGAGTGTCGTTATTAAGGAAATGGACCCTAATAAAAACAGAAGCAGGTTGCTATCGTAGACCGCTGATTTCTTGACTTCTACATTTCAGTGAAAGGTGTTTGTTACATCATTTGAAATAGAACACTTCAAAGATTATGCATATATAAAAATATTTTCAATCGAGTGTAAAATAGCCGTGCACGGAACCAAACAAGATTGGATAAATTTTTAGTATCGTTATTAGGGACATCTACTCTACAACAATGAATGCCGTTGGCTATCGGATGGTCTAATCTCACTTTGTCCTTGATGAGATCAATAGAAACAACAAAACTATATAACTAAGAGACGCATAGGTGAGAAAAAAGATAAGGAAGACAAAAAAAGTAATGTATAACCTGACAAGCTTAAGAAAAGAAGCGTGGATAAAATAGTAATAGTTGATCTGTTTGCCTTAGCGACTTAGGCAGCTATCTTATCCAAGTATAAGACAGATACTATTATATGGAAGATGTTGGAAATATTAACCGAATGTCATTTTTGTGTTAAGACAGTAGAGATTGATAGGCTGAATATTACACATTTCATTCGAGGTTCAACTCAAACTCACAACTATTTGATTTTTTTCTATTTTTAACTGTATTTGCAATTTATTTTTTCTTCATTATTATGAATGCGTATCACCATTATTACATTTTCTCTCTTTTCTTTTCATGCTTTCGTGTTGTACTTGCACGAGAGTATAATATGTATTCCTCTTTCGCACACGTGTTTTTATCTTATCTTAGTGTAGTAATAAAAAAAAGAACGAATTTTATACAGTATGTAGATTGAATCATGGTTGATGATATTATTGGAAAAATAAATTATTTAACAATGACGATAGATGGGTGTTCTCCTTGGATGGTAGTATCTTCGATTCCAACATCACTAAGATCAAATCTTGTACAATCACCAGTTGATGTTATTATTCACGACTTACGAGGAAAGGAGAAGAGTGTTAATCTAGATACAAATGCTCTTGAAGTCGTTAAATACGATGGTTATATACAAGAAGAATTCGAAGAAGGCAGCGAAACGCAAAAAATTTATTATGAAGAGATTATTAATCTTCTAAAAGAACGTCTAGGTGCTTCTCGAGTAATTATTTATCATTATACATTTCGTTCTCGAAGTTCATTATTAACTGAGGAAGAATGTAATACGACTCATCGAAATCCAGTGTTTTATCCTCATGTTGATACCGATAAACCTGGAGCTCAAAGACTAGTAGAAAAACTACTCGGCAAAGAAGAAGCTGAAAGAGCACTGAAAAATCGAATACAAATTATAAATATTTGGCGTCCGTTGGGTCAACATCCAATAACAGAAAAACCGTTAGCTATTTGTGACTATCAATCGATTGATGTCGACAAAGATGTTCATCCCCTAACAATTCGTGGATCCGATTATCATCCTACAGCTCAAATTATGTCTCGCAATCATCCGGATAATCATATTTGGTATTATTTAAGCCAGATGAAATCCGATGAGATGTTTTTATTTAAAATGTTCGACAGTAAATCTGACGTGGCGCAATTTGCTTTCCATACAGCTTTTATCAACCAAAATGCGCCTATGTTAAATAACGAACAGAAAAGTATTGAAATTCGTTGTTTAGTTTTCTATGATAATTGATAACACATAAATTAGAAATATTATTGAGTTGGTAGTTCACTTGAAGTAAAAACATACATTTGTAGTTTAGATATCTACGCAATCAAATAAAATGATAGTGAAGATTATTCGACTAATTTTCATTTAAATAGATAAACATTATCAATAACCAAAAATAAATAGCTATCATTTCAAATAATTACATATAGAAATATTTTATTTAATAAATAAGATTAATTAACAAATGCTGGTTATTTTTTTTCACAATTTGCAGTCACCAGATTCATACTTGTATCGCATCGCATTTCTGGATAATTAAACAGTCATGATCAACTCTACATAGTAAAAAAGGTATTTTACGGAACCAAAAAAGGATCTTCTCCTGAGCACATGGGAAGAACCTTTTTTTGTTCCGGACAAAGAGGATTTCGTACGAAACTTCTTCTTCTTCAACAGAAAAAATGGTTCCGTACATAAGATTTGGCACGAAACCTTTATCGGAAAAGCCAAAAAAAGTTTTGTGCAGAAGGTTCTGTACGAAACTTCCCCGAAAATGAAGTCGAAAAGATTTCGCACAAATGGTTTCGTACGAATCTTCCAAAGTATTTAAATCTAATGAGGTTGCCCTTGGAAATGATCATTCAGTGTTGAGTTGAGGCTCTCTGCATAAGATAGTTATCGATGAGATGAGAAAAATCCTCGAATAATGCCTTTCATTAGCTCGTCGCAAAAAGATTATCACTATGTTACTAGAATTTTAGTTAAATGCTAACGAAGAATCCTATTTAGATGTGAATTTGATTTTGATTTCGAACCATTAGTGTCAGATAGATGTGAGAGAAGTGATAAAAGCTCCAAAGAAACGGAGAATGAAGTCTTCTCTCGAAAGTTATAACCATTTTCTGTGAACTCGAACCTATAGCGCCGTAGATATCAGTAGGTGGAATGAGATTATTTCTATTTAAGAATTTTTGGACGGAGCAGTCTATTGATGTGGCGAAAGTCCCAAAAATTTTATCTAAAACCAATGTGCTTTTGTCAGAAATGCTGAAGTTTCACAATGCAACTCGTATCTCACGAAAGATAATGAAATTTTGTCTTGTTTGTAAACTTCAGCATCCCACAAAAAGCGTCTCGGTTTCAGAAAAAAATTTTGGAAGGCTATGGGTGTGGGTGTGGGTGTGGTGTGGGGTGTGGGTGTGTGTGAGTGTGGGTGTGGGTGAGTGTGGGTGTGGAGTCTGGGTGTGGAGTCTGAGTGGAAATGGAAGAGAACATTGACACTTACACCCACACCCACACCCACACCCTCTAGTTTATGCTTTATATTTATTTATTAAAATTTTATAATTGCAATTAATTTTTATCTGTTGAGAATAATTAGAAAAAATTTTGCTAGACTCGAAGTACGTTAATATCGTTGATTGAAACGTACCTCTGCCTTTTGTGTTGATGAGTAGAAGAGCCACACTCACATTCACATCCACACCTATACCAACACCCACACCCACATACACCCACACCCATATACACCCACACCCACATACACCCACACCCACATACACCCACACCCACATACACCCACACACATCCACACCCACGCAGGCACACCCAGACCCATACCCACACCCACCTACCCACACCCCACCCTTTTCATTTTCCATATTTTAGAAATTATATCTAAATCAGAGAGAACATATATACATATCTAGGCCAATGATTGCGGTACCCAATGTCAGCGACTCTTCGACAGATATCGGCCGAAAAGTAGTAGAATTATGAAGGCAATACCAAATTCAGGCATTGTTTTTCATTGTTTTATTTTATTTCATAGGAATGAAATATTGGAAGCATGTATTTGTAATATGATCTATATTGGATATGATTAGTTTTTTCTACTTTTTTATCTAATTCTCTCTATCATGATTATTTATCAAATATTTGGAATGACATGAGAATATCAGCATAATTTAACAGGGGCGGATCCACCATTTCGGCGAACCGGCGACCGCCGCCCCCTCAAAAATAAATGTAAAGGGTGTTCCAGAAGTTCTGTAACGATTTGTATAATAAATTTTTCTTTAGTAAATCGCGCGGTTGAAAATTTGACTCTATAAAGAAAAGATGCAGTAAAAGACGCTCTACAAAATGGC